TAAAGAAAAAGCTATTTTCAAAAGATTGGTTGACAGGAGTGAACAACTTGGATTAGGCAGAAGAGGGCTCCAAGAACGTTGGAGTACCTACTGACAAGGGAGCAGAGAGGAGGAACAAAGCCCTTACGTGTCTAAGGAGGAACAGAAAGAAGAGGAAGGAGTACAAAGTGGCCATAATCTTTCTAATCTGGAGTCACATTTCCAAAAGATGCTGTTGATCCATATTTTAAAAACAACAAAAGGCATCACAAAGTCAAATCAGTATTGCAAAACAAAGAAGTTGAGAAATTTTCAGTCAAGTTTTTAACCTTAGGAGCTCCTTCCTGTTGAACCCTGAAGATCCCAAGTATCTACTTTAATGCACATGTTGGGTAGGATACAGAACACACTTAGGTTCTGATCAAGATGAGGAATCTAGCTAGGCAAACAGCTCAAAGGCCACACACTTAGTGTGATAGTGAATGAGAAATAAGCAAGAAAGGGAAGAACAGCAAGGGTAAATATCTGAAAAGGAAGAGGAGGGGGGAGATCGAAAAAATAGGGAGGAGGAGGAGAAAGAAGCTTTTATAAACTGATCCTCATGAAAGATTGAGTACAATTTAATCTGTGTCATCTAAAAAGTCTTAGATAGAGAGCTTAATCCCCCTGCTACTGCTCTCCCTACTGGAGACTGGACCCAGGGCCTTGTTTGTGCTAAGTATGTTCTCTTTAACTTAGCTACTTTCCCAGCCCTAAAACTTACTTAAAGAAAACCCCAGCATCCCCACCCAACAAAGGTTGGAAAGATTTATGAAACAAGACTGGTAAAGGTCAATAACTGAATTGAGGTGATGAACGTCTTATTTTTGTGTTGCATATGTTTAAAATTGTCCAAAATAAGTAGTTTTTAAAAGTACTGAGCAAGAGATGGATGGAGAGGGGATCAGGAGAGGGAAAAGAGATAGGGAAAAAAACTGAAGGGGGAAAATGATGAAAACAGATTTTTTGTAAATGAGAAGGGGACCAAGAGTTGGAAGCAGAGGAAAGAGAGGTAGGGGATGAAGAAACAGAAAAATAAATAAAATAAGAGATACTAAGTACCTGTATCAACTCCCCACGATAAATGTAATCATTATGTACTGCAAACATAAACTAATAAAAATGTGAGCTAAACTCATATAAACAATGTGTGTATCTACATAAACACTCTCTTGGGAACACAAAATATTATGAATAAAGAAACAGTAGTACTAAACACCTGTAATCTACTTAGCAGTTTGAATTGGTTTAATATCTTTTGTTGACATTAATAAATAGTTCACAGGTAAAACACCTCTTACTTCTAGAAAATGTATCCATGCTCCTAAAGAAAATGAACAGTCTTGAATAAGTATGTTTTTAAACTTTGATCACTTAAGACCAATATGCCCAAATGTTAAGAAATCTGTATACAATCTATCAGAAAATACTTACAGTTCTCACATCAAACATTCTCAATACATTTATATTATACAAATACTTTTAATGATAAAGGAGGCAATTGCAATATTGACTCCAATTAAAGATAACAGCATGAATAGAAATTTCTATTTCTGCATTATTTAAATACATCTCCTTACATTTTCCCCATTACAGAAAAACACCATCTGGCATAAAATAACTCAAACACCATATTAAATGATCTACCTTATTCTGAACATTCATCTACTCTCCTTTAAGACAGAGACATGTACCAAAGAAATCATAAAAGGCCTTAAGATTCTGCCCATTTTAAAAAGTAAATAACACTAGTCGTATTTTTGCAAATTTTAAAGGCATCTGACATGCTCTATAACAGTACAAAGTGTAAAACAGAAAAGTCAAAAAGACGATGACATCAGAGCTTTATTTTGCCAGGTTACATAAACCTACTGCCCTTCACAATTTCACTTGATATAAAGTGATAATTTAAAATAAATGGCTAGAAAAATTATCATGTTATCTTGAAAACACACAGATATCTCCTCTCTCTATAATCAACCTTCCTGTGGGTTTTTGAGATACACAATACATATTCATGAATGTTAATAAATTTCATAAATCAAAACTGCATTAAGTTTTCTTTCATACTGAACCTTTCTATAAGCTTCTATAGAACTGTACATCAATGTTCCTCAATGTGTCGGAGTACATGGTGTAAGAGTGAGATGAAACTACAATAGGGAACTCTCTCTAATAGAGAAAGTCTGTGACCAAGATAATCCATTACATCTTGACTTTCCTTGGTTTTAAGCTATGCCTGCTGAAAAGCATACAAATAAACTGATTAAATGCACACAGCAGCCAAAGAAACAGAACCTTCTGTTTTCAACCTTTATTTATGCTTTGGTGGGGGAGTGGGGTAAAAGTAATACCTACAACTAAATTATTTCCTAAAATTATCCTTAAGAATCCATTATACCGCAAAAATCTGTAAGAATTTTGAACTAAGGCTGGTAAGCTCCACAGTCCATCACAAAAGGCTATTCTGTAAATGCTTGGTATGTAAATTACTGCTCTACATAATATGTACCAGAAGAAAGTGAAGCTCTGTAAAAGTAAGTCTGAGAAGCTTAGCAGCACCCAGTATTTTTACTAGCCACTATTCTCCCAAGGGGTTATATATATAATAAAATGAATGAAATCAGCATTTTCTGACTCATACGGCATAGCTTTTCATGAATGGGTATGTATGTGGAAAGATGGATTAACTCCCTGATCTCATTTTAATGAGTTTCTCTTTGTCTTTCAGGGACTGCATTGCACAGAAGCTCAGCAATGCTTTAGTCATTTAAATCAATCCATTTAAGATTTCTGAGAAATGCACTGACTTGAACCTATTTGGGGATACTAAATTTACCAAAATTTAAAGTCAGAGAATAATTTAAATAATATAAAGTTACTTCTTCCACCCAATAGGTTGTGGAGCACTGTCATTTCTACCTCCTTAGTATAACTAACATATAACTGTTCTGCTTTAGCTATGCACACTGCTATCTGTGAAACCCCCTTAAAGTACTTCTTATTCCTATTTTACACTGCTCTGATCCCTTTTACACCCAGTCACTGGAAGTTATCGTTCCAAAATGCAAATCTAATTCCATTACAGCTCTTGAAGTTCTGAGGATGAAGTGCAACTCCATGGTCTACCAAGCCCTCCAGTGTTTTGGCCTTCTCAACCCGTACCCACCCAGCTGCCCAGTGTCCTCTAGGAAACTACTCCTAGTTTTCTAACTCAGGGACTGCCAGACTTTTGGATTTTGTAGGTCAGGAAAAACAATGACAAAAACAACTAAAAGGGTGGTGAGTTACAAAGAGTTACAAACAAGGCTGCCAATTTTTTATTTGCCAAGAAAATATATTTCAAATAAAAACAAAATAGATAATTTGCTGGCACTTTCTCTTTACAACATAGTAAAAATGAGCATGACTTTAGTTTTAAAACTTGCAAAAAGTAAATTTTAAAAATAAAAAGCATACTGCCTTGCCCTTTAAAAAAAATTTTTTTTTAATTTCACACTGGGTAAAAACTTTAGTGTGAACTTGTTCAATAAAACCACTGCCCTAGCTCATCACATCTGTACTTCCCTGCACAAGCTGAGCTCCTGCCCCAGCACTCTGTCCCCACCACTCCTATTCCCTCCTTTCATTTGCTTAGGGAATACTTCCTTCAAAGTTTACCCTATACGGCTACCCTTCTGCAATGTGCAAAACAATAACCTGGGCATCTTGTCAAAGTGAAGATTCTGGTCACAAATACTCACTCCTGTGTTTCTTCCAGAAGTTTCATGATTTTAAATTTCATTTAAATTTAAATTATATAAATTATATAATAATTTAAATTTAATTTAAATCTATAACCTGTTTTTCTATAATTTCTATAAATAGTATGAGGTAAAGACTGAAGTTCATTTTGTTGCATGTGGATATCCAGTAGTTTCAGCACCATTTTTTTTTTTTATCAGTACCAGGGATCGAACTCAGGACCACACACTGGCAAGGCAGGCGCTTATGCCGCTGAGCTAAATCCCCAGCCCCTCAGCACCATTTGTTAAAAAGACTATCCTTCCTCCACTGAGATGTCCTTGTTCTTTCTTCAACTATCAAATTGATCATATGTATGCGAGTCTCTTTCTGGACTCCATTCTGTTCTAGCTGCCTATCTGTGTAGGCCAGGCTATCCCTGTGTATGTATCGGATCAATGAGTTATGATCCAAACACAAAAAGTATTCTGTGCAAATGAGAGAGGGTAAGGAACTTAGCTGACCTCTCTGCTGTTTCCCTGTTTTATTTCCTCTGCTGTACTGTATCCTTTAACCCTTACTAGTCTAGAGTAAGTATACTTCCTTAAATTCTTATGAGTTCTTTCAATTAACTGGCCCAGGGGTAACTGCTGCAATGATTTTTCTTTACATGATTAAAAAGATTTTTCTTGCTACAGAGCCAAAGGACTAGCTTTTTTTTTTTTTTTAGGACGAGCTTTTTTTCTACCCTGCCTAAATGGGTCAAGGTCAGTTCCCTCTTGGCTTTCTCTGTTAGGATTGGCATGTCCTCAGTCACACAGGTTACGGCTGCCAGGTCTACTTTAATACTAACTAGTTAGCCATGGACAAACCACAATTATAAAGTGGGGAGAGTTTTTTAGTTTAAAATATGCTTACAAATCAGAGTATTTATACTAGTCAGTGTAAGTGTGCATTACACAGTGTAAGTGTGGATTACAAACACAGCTGAAACAACACTGACCTGAAAAGAGCAAAATCCAGCAAAAGCTGAAACGTCAAGACAGACTAAAATATATATGTAGACATTGTCTTAGTCTAAGAAGGGAGTTACACTCTGGTACCACCCCAGGCATGTCAACAGGGGAAAGTAAGTGGAGAGTGCTAGTATGCTTAGGGTAAAGCTACCACCTCTCCTGCGACAAAAACCTGAGATAATCAATTTAAAGGTGGAAAAGTTTACTTTGGCTCACAGTTTCAGAGCTTTCAGTCACACTCACTTGGTCTTGCTGTTTGGGGCCAGTGGTGGCACAGGACACCATAGTGACAATGTGTAATGGAGGAGGCCAAGGAGCAAAGAGACAGGAAGAGCAAGGGGCAAAGTCCCAGTGTCCTCACTTCCCTCCACAAGACTGGCCTGCCTCTTAAAGTTCCATCACCTTCCCAAAATGCCAGCAGCTGGCAATGAAGACTAACCATCAGGCCTTAGGGGTTACTTCCAAACCACAGCATGTCTGGGAAAGTTATATAACAGTGGCAGAGGAACAGGAACAATATATTGAGCATCTGTCACTGGAGACACACTGCGCTTAAAATCCTTAATGTTATTTAATCTTAACAGGAGTTCTAAGAGCTCAGCCTGTTGGGGATTCCATCTCAGCAAGGAGCAACTGTAACATGGCAACACTCCTCACCTGTGGGCCCCCACCCCTGGCCAGGGAGAGGAAGAACCAGGAGTTACTCCCAGGTATTCCAACACCAAGTCCAAAATCTTACAGCTTTAGTATCTCACCAGAAATGCTGGGCACTACAAGTGTTTCCGATTTTAGATTTTTTTGTGTGTATGTGTGGAGGAGGGGATTATGATACAGTAATGAGATATCTATATAATGAGGTATCTTAGGGATGAGGCCCAAGGCTAAAAATGAAATTTATTTATCTTTCATATATATCTTATGCACACAGCCCCAAAGCAATTATGTCAATGTTTTTAATGTGTGTGCACTGCAGCATTTTGGATTTCAGATTTTTGAATTACAGGTGCCCAACCTTGTATCACAAAACTATTTCTGAAGTTGTCTGAATGTTCAAGGGGAGAAATGAATCAGACCAGCAGAACAAAAGGTGAAAATAGACGAAGTCTGACAGAAAGCTCTTACTATTTAGAAAACAGAAGAAAAAGAGTCAAGGAAAATGGCTTACAGGCATTTGAGTACTTTGAACAGTACATTGATCAGATCTCGATTTGATCACTTTCAATTGATGCCTTGAGGTACAGCAGACCAAATTAAAAAACAAAACAAAATGAAATACCACTCTGTGAAATTTTCACAATTACGCAAAACTTCTATTCTCCACAGGCTGGCATGGGAAATGATGACCATTTCATAATTTATGGGTTAACTCTTCTGTTGCCATTTAAAAGATTTGGGCTTTCTTACCGGGGGATTGTACATACTGTCTTACTCTGTCCTTCAACTCTGAGCTTTGACAGTGTGGCCAAAACCCACTTAATCCAAACATAACACACCCTATTGGTTTGGTCTGTAACTAATTGTTTAAAAAAATTTCTCCTGCTCTAGTAATTTCTTGATATTGAATATATGTGGCAAAAATAAAAACTCTTTTCAGTCTTAAAAAAAGTGTTAACATGTATTGAAAACTTTAAAAATCTCATCTATCTCTTACTTCAATTCATGGTATTTAAAAACCAGGAATAGTTTCAGAAACTAAAAGAGAATAAAGACGGGGTCCTGTTCTTCAGAGCCCATAAAGCTGAATTTTCATTCACTATTTTCGCAAAAACACCAGGACATCCTGACACCATGCTTTAGTTCTTGGAACTCCTATAGCTGTTCAATAGTCTGTGCTTGGAAGTAAGGAAGAAAAGATCATAAGAGAAAAGGAGAATTTTTACAGTTTTTTGATCTTCACTTCTGAAAGCTAGAGTCAAAAAAAGTCTGCTGCAAAAATTTTAGAATGTAATAATATTAACATTAAGCTCTTAAACTAAGCCAGTTTTAATTACTTCTACAAATTATTTGCTTTAATCTTTACAATGGTCCTATAAATTGGCACTAGCACTGCACCCATCTTAGAGATGATAAATAGGTACAGAGAAGTTTGAGTCATTTATCTAACCTCTAGGAAGTAAAAAGGAACCAGAATTCACACCCAGGCTGCCTGTCTCCAAACCCCACACTAAGAGCAACTAGAGTGTATTTCCTACCGCCGAGAAACTTAAGATATTGCGGATTAAACAGAATGCACTAGTGAAACACAATTTAAGAGCCCAGATACAGACCCAGTTATACCTGGGGTAATCAAAAAATACAGTAAAAGTTTACATTTTAAAAGATTTATTGTCATAAAAGACATACTGTCACTGATCCCCCCCTCGCTTCAAGCACACATCCTCTTTATCGTTCTCACCCCTTTCCTAAGCAGTTCTGGAAGTTCTCTTTCATCAGTATCACTAGTCCTACTGTTACAGCTGCCTCGCTATTCCGAATCAGTTAAAATCATTAACCTTTCATGGTCATTTTGACTTTGGGGAAAGCCAGAAACTGCACAGCTTCAGATCCAGTGACTAAGGTAGATAAGGACACCTTGTAATCCATTTTTACAAGCCTGCCTTTCCACTGGATGGTACCTGGCAACAGCATTTTTGTGTTTTTCACAATTCTTCACAGAAAATGCTCAGAGGCGCCTTCCAGGACTGCTTCAGAAAGTGGCAAGAACAATGGGAAAAGCGCGTTGAAGCAGGGTGGTCTGTTCTGAGGGGACTAACGGCAATGTGTCTTTACAGTAATGTTAAAAATTTAAACATTTACTGTGTATTTTCATCACCCCCTTGTATAAAAACAAACAGCACAGGTGGGTCATAAAAAAAAAGTGCTGCCTTAATTATTATTTCCAAAAAGGGTTAACTTCATCTCACTCCACTTATTAAAATAAATTTTAAGTGTTTTAAAGAATTATACAAGTATCTGGGATGAAGAAGATGCACATGACCGACTTCCTTCCCTATCATTCTTGATAAAAATGACTCAACTAATTTGACAGGGAAAGTTTTTCTATCAAATGTTTACTGAACAAGACCTTCATCCATAAACCTGAACCCTTGAGAACAGTCAGCAGAAAGCGGGGCAGGAAAAGTATGGAAATTAGAAAGCCCATTCAGCAGCCAGCTCGCAGCACATCGACAAAAAAGTGCTGCTATTTTATCAATTATTAAGAGACACACATCCTATCAAGTGCTTGGGCCATTATCAAATTTCAATATTATGAAAAAACATGGTTCAGAAGCTGAACAAGATGACAGTGTTACACAGCTAATAAATAGCTGAGCCAGGATTGGAATCCAAACTGAAATTCTGAATCACTACTCTATCCCAAGGGGGCCAAGTCCATCAAGATGCTCTCTTTGGAGGCTATGGAGAATCCCTGCACAGGAGCAGGGGATAGGGGCTGGACCAGAACTAGAGGCCCAGCTGTGCTACGCTTGTGCTCTGGTGCTGAGCCAGGAAGGGACACTACTCCAGCAGGCCTCAAGGGGTCAAAGCAGATACAAAAGGGACACTCTTTCAGAACAAAAGCATACCCTGCCTTGCAGCTGTCTCCTACCCCCATACCCATAGCTCCATTACTATCCCACACAAACTATTAGAAGTCTAAGCTGCCAACAAAAAGTATAATGAATCCAACCCTGCTCCATATTCATCTGAAAAAGAACAGAACCTATATAGTTTCTGACAAAACCTATTTTAGTTACCAATACTGAATCAAAAAGACAGCACTTTGCAGATGAGTAAACTGAGAAGCAGCAAACCAGGTGAAAAGGCTCAGTGTTTTAAAAGAATTGGTAGCTGAGGATATAGCTCAGTGGCATAAGCGCCTACCTGGCAAGTGTAAGGTCCTGAGTTTGATTCCCACAACCAAAAGAGAAAGAAAGAGAGAAAATTAGCAAATTCTGGATAATAATGATAAGTTCAAACAGTAAGACAAGTTCATAATTTTTAAAATGTAATTTTCAGTAGTATTCCAAAGGGCATTGCATCACTGACACAAAAGTGACTATGAAGCCAGGCAAGGTGGTAAACACTGCAATTCCAGCACTTGAGGAGGCTGAGGCAGGAGCATTCCATGTTCCAGCCCAGCCTGGACAACTCAGCAAGACCTATCTCAAAAGAAAGAGGGGGAAGCACTGGGGATGGAGCTCAGTGCAAAAGTCCAGGATTCAATCCCCAGTACCACAAACAAACAAACACATAAACAAATCAGTTGGGGTGAAGAAAGCTCAGGGGTAGAATGCTTGCCTAGAATGCCTGAAGGCATGGGTTCAACCCCCAGTACCAATAAATAAATAAATAAATAAATAAATAAATAAAATAAGGGAGAAAAAGATAGAAACAACATGGAACAGAAGGAACAGAAAAACAGTAAGTAGTTGGGCACGGTGGTACATGCTTGCGATTCTAGCACTCAGAAGGCTGAGGCAGGAGGATCATAAGAGTTCAAGGCCAGCCTGGGTTTCACAATGAGTTCAGAACACTCTCAACTATACAGGGAGACTATGTCTCAAAAAATACAATAAATTATTTTATATACATTTATTTAAATAAAGAATTAAATAAAGATATTTAAATAAAGAAAAATAATACGTAGGATTAATAAGTAACTAATGGAAACTGAACCTAGAGGTGAGTTTTTCAGACTACTCAAGAGTTCTTCAAATTGTTGACTCAGAGGTTTTTAGAATTCATCATAAAAGAGCCATGTGTCCTATGCCAATTACTAAATGACAAAGATAAAGGTTCAACAGACATTTTATCCTCCACTAAGATTAAGAAAAACAAAAAGGAATGTGAAAGAGCCATCACCTTTCTCATCTACCACACTAAGTGCTAAAAGGAGATGGAGCAGTATTTCTAGGATGCTGGAAGAAAAAGACTGACCGAGGAATTCTAAATTCAGTTAAGTGATCAATACTCTTAATTATCATTATTAAATAGCAGAAGAAATATATTAATAGACATTAAAGGACTAAAAAAATATACTTTCTGCTTATCCTACATGGAAACTATTTTAAGAAAAAAAGGATACCCAATGAAGCGAAAAAAATTAGAACAAAGAACTCAAGAAAATAACAGGAAAAGACATTCAAAAGTATAAAACAAATAGTACTGAGCACAGGAAAATTAAGAAAGTTACAGTGATCTAAGTAATCATAAAGCAAATATTAATAGAGAGTCAGAAACGATATTTAAGGAGCACACTGCAAAAAAACTAATATGAACAAATACTTCTCATTTCAACAAAACGTCCGAGATAAGGGCAAAGGAAGGAAGAGAAGGTACTGAAGGGGAACTCCACTACTTCTGTTAAAATGATAAACACGTTCAAAGAGAACGGAATTTTAACTCTCATACCATAAAAAAATTGTTTTTCTTCTTGAATAAAAGGAAAACTTATAAATAAAACAAATCTCTGGAAAAGGTAAACAACAAGAAAATATAGTAATCAGAAACCCTAATAAAAGATCAAGGGTGAGCCCTAACAATGAGCACTACTGGGTTGCTAGGGTTCCGTACATTGTGTCCGCTTGAACAGTGTAGAAGTTTAACAGAGACTCAGCAGGAGGCCAGGGTTCTAACTTTGCAAATATCCTCATCCTGTGCAAAGGAGGGCAAAGAGATTTTGTCAGTGTTACACCCCACCTGGAGTGGGGTTGGTGGCCTGTATACAATATAAGCCCTAAGCCCAGAGAAGGGGCCTTTTTTTCCCCTTTTGTTCTGGCTGCTGCCTTTAAGTGTTGCCCCAGTGCCATGCCACCTTGCCCTGGAGCCAGTTGGTTGTAGACTGAGTCCTCCAAAAACTGTAAGCTAAATAAATCTTTCCTTGCTTCAGTTTGTCTCAGCAGCAAGAAAAAAGTAAGCAAGACAGAATTTGGTACCAGAGGAATATGGTTGTTGCTGTGACTGTACCTGATCATGTGGTTCACGAGCCTTTGTGGGGAGAGTTTGGAAAGATGTGGAGATGTCGCCTGAATGCACAGAGCTGGAACAGCTTCGGCTGTTCTGTAGGGGAAGATTCTGGTCAGAGCTCAGGAGACCATAAGGCTGATAGAAAGCAGCCAGTAAAGCCCAGGCTCAGGTTTCTGCTGGGAAGGAGGACTGTATTGGTTGTTGGACTCCACACACCTTGTGTGTTATGGCTTAGCTGAAAGTTTGTCTGTATTTTGCTTGTGTCCAGAGACTGCCTGAGATGGAGATTAAGGGCAGTGATCTGATTAATCTGGCAGATGAAATTTCAAGGCAGCTGAATGCTGAGGCTACTGTTGGGGAGTTTTAAACCAGATTTATGTTGTGAATCAAGAGCAAAGAGCCCAGCAGGGTGATTTAAAATGTGAGTTTGACTAGAAAGGAAGCTCTAAAAAAGGCCTTAGCATTATCTATGTGGTGCTGGTTTTAGGTACATACAGAATGCAAGGGTTCTGAGATTAAAAAGGCTTCCAACCTCAATTTCAGAAGGCTTGGGAGGCCAGGTAGTGTGCCCGAGAGGGCAGTGTGTGAAGCTATGAGCGTGAAGCTAAAGTTGCAGTGGAGACCGCAGAAGTTTGGAAAAGCCAAGAATATGTATCATTTAAGGAAACCTGCAATGAGGGAGCAAAGCCAGCCTGAGACAGAAGCAGTGGGATCAGTAACTACCAGAAATGCCGTAGAGGTGGAGGCACACAATTTGCCAATTTGGAGCGCACCATTTGCCATATCTTGCCTCAAACAGTGCACATGGAACTGCAGGACTTAATGTCTGCCCTGCTGGATTTTGGGCTTGCTTTTGTCCCAATCCTTTGTACTCTCCTATTTGTATCTTTTGGAATGATAATGTTTATCTTGTGCCTTTGCTGTTGGAAGTGGTTAACTTTGTTTTTGAAAGAGTGATGGCCCAGACAGGACACTGTAGCCAGAACCAAGGAGCTCCTATCTCCCCCACCCTTAGGAATTTATCTATGGCGCCAAACAAAGACCAATGGGCTACCTGTGCATCCCTAATGCCCCCTTAGGTTCCACCCCAAATCGAGGATACTTACCTGTCTCACTCCACGTGTTCCACGGAGAGATCACCAACCCGGTGTGGAGATGCCACGCCCCAGGGGGTTGGGGTGTCTCTCCCCGCATTCTCAAAATAAATGTCATTTATATTTCATTTATCTTTTCAGCCGTCACCGGTCCCCCACAATTCTGTCAGTTTTCACTTGTACAGGGGTATGCAGCTAAGAGTTTGCCTTCTATCTTGGAGAAGACTTTGGGACTTGAACTTCTCAGCAACGCTGAAACTTAGGGCTTTGGCAACTCTTGCAGATGGACTAAATGCTTTTTGCATAAAGGGATGTGCATAAATCTTTGGGGGGGGGTCCAAGGACAAAATGTTATACTTATAATATAATGTTGATAGACAATGCTGTTTCTTAAGGATTGCTAAATTGCTAAATGTTAAGAATAAGGGGCTGGGGATTTAGCTCAGCGGCATAAGCACCTGCCTTGCAAGCAGGCGGTCATGAGTTCGATCCCCGGTACCGATTAAAAAAAAAAATTGAGAAAAAAAAAGAATAAACATTCTTTGTATCTGGAGGCTGATTTAAAGAAATATGTCTGCTTGCCAAGTTGACAAGGAAGTGGACTGTTATGGTTAATACACTGTGTCAACTTGAGCAGCTTAGAAGTTTAACTGAGAGACTCAGCAGGGAGCCAGGGTTCCTTCTTTGTAAATATTCTCATCCTATGTAAAGGAGGACAAGGAGATTTTGTCAGTGCTATACCTACCTGGGGCTAAGGTGACCCGAGTACAGTATAAGGCAGGAGAAGAGGCTTGTTTTGCTCCCTTTTGCTCTGGTTGTCCTTTTGCTCTGGCGGCTGCCTTGAA